CATGCCCCGTCGGCCCCCTGGCCCCGCCACTCGAGGGCCTTTTCGCCCCCCCTTTTCCCCGCGCCTTTCCCGGGGCCACGAGCACCCTGCAACTTCACGACGGAGCGGCTGGGGGCCCCAGTTGTCCAACCGCAGGAACCCGCGACCCCCGGACGGCGCTGCCTCGGTCCCTGCTCACGCTGGCGGCTCCCCGCCCGTTCCAAACCACGCCCCAACCGGGTTTTTGGCGGATCCCCCCTGATGGTTTTCGGCCGCGGGGTTTTTTTTTGGGCCAGGTTCCCCCCGGTTTCTCGATATTGCCCACCAGGGATCAATTCAGGCGCGCCCGTACCGTCGTCGGTGCCCGGAACATTGAATTTCGGTTGCCGACAATACGTTTAAAAAGGGCTCAGGTTGAAGAACCGCGATGCAACATACGCACCGCCAGCGGCTCCCCCACCCGTCACCAGCTTGATCAGGCCGAGTCCAGCGTTTCGTTCTTCCCCGGCTCCGACGCGCGCAGCATCCGGACACCGCCCCAGCTTGGCCAAATCGGGGACGCCGCATCGCCGCGCGCTTTTTTTCAGGCCCCTGATCAATGAACGACCTGATGGGGATGGTATCGGCGTATCGCCTCGCGACGTGCGTCCAGCTTCCAGCGTGACGCCCCTGCCGTTGCGCTCGCGCCCCACCAGAACCACAGCTTTTGCTCGCTGGCATCGCCGGTCAGCGAACAGCCGCCCAGCTGGTGGAGATAGCGCCGCATGACCTCGTCCGGCTGCGCCCACTCGAAACTCGCATCGTACAGCGGGCACGTCGCATCCGGATCATAGGCGACCGGGGATAGCTTGGTCAGCAGATCGTCCCGGCGATGCTCTCCCAGCCGACCAGCGCGAACCTTGCCATCCGGCCCTCTTCGCGGCGGAACCGCAGCAGTGCCGTTCTGGACGTTGACCGCGAACGCGTCGTGATCAAACGCCCGATCGGCACCGTCAGCCACCGCCGCGCCAGTTTGGCGACGGAGGAAGGCTTGTCGACCGACCTGACTTCCGCCCGAAATCCGCGATCAGGCTGGAGTGTAGCTTCCACCGCATCCCCACCAGCGTCCAGCGATCCAGCGCGGCCGGGTCCGTCATCGGGGAGAGGAAAGTATCCTGCCTCGGTGACCAGCTGCGCCTGAACGCCGGTATCCCGGATTGCGCGGGCTTCATCCTGAATCGAGCGGATCGTGTCGAACACGGCCGCGATCACTTCGGCAGGCGGCGTCTTTTCGTCCTCGTCGAGGACGCGCCAGCGCCGCCCGTCCCAGCCCAGCCAGCCCTTTGCGGTCGTATAGCGAAAATCCGCCCTGTACCGGTCGCGGAACCGCTCCCGCGATGCCAGTCTGTCATCGGATAGCCTGCGCATTTTAGCCCCAGCTGCGCGCCGTCGATCATAGCCCCCTGTTCCACCTGTCGAGGATCGCCGGCCGCACCATTACTGGCCCAGCGACACCGCATCGGCCGCCCCGTCGCCAGACGGTGGCCAGCGCGCATCCATCGCCATCGCCTCACAGCAGTCCGGCCGCGACCCGCCGCTCCGATCCTGAACGCCAGCGCCGTTTAACCTCCTGTTCGACTGGCTGGCACCGCTCTGGACCGCGCGATCGAGCCACGCGTCCGCCAAGCGCAGCAACCGCTCGCGCCCCTCCACCCTGTGTCGGGGGCCGGCGATTTCCTCCCTTCCACCCCGGAAGGATCGTTTGTTCCGCCTCCCCCTGGCGGACAGGGCGGGGGGCCCAGGCGCAGCGCGGTGGAAGGATCGCCCGGCGGAACGGCGGTCGGTCCGCCTCTCTGTTAGCGGCCGCGATTCGCTGAGATCGCGAGGGCTTCCGCTTCCCTGCTGACCAGCCGGGTTGATCGCGGCTTGCAGCTGGCCTTCATCATCGCGACCGGGATTGTCGCGCGGCCGCATCCAGTCCGGCTCCGCGCCATCGCCCCGTCTGGCGCCCGGCGGCCGCGACCAGTGAGGGACAGCTTCAGCGCCGCCTCGAACAGCCGATCCTGCCGCTTGCCCGTGCCGGCGCGCCGCACCTGACACCTGCCATCCAGCGCCGCCAGCGTATACCGCACGGCGGCATCCTCGCAAAGCGCCCGTCAACCGGCACGGCCGCCGATCGCGTCGAGGGCGCCGGACTGGCCTTCAGCTTTGCGGGCTTGCCCCCACGCGTCCGCAGGATATCGACCAGTGCGGCCGGAGCCGCGCGAACGCCGCATCGTCCCGCCAGTCCCCGCGATCGAGCCAGCGATACCGCGCGCCTGTCTCGGTCATCACCGATGGCGCGACGCACATAGCCGCCAAGGCCGCGCACATCGACATGCTCCGGCAGGTTGCCGCGATTGCGGATCGGCTCCCCTTCCGGTTGCTTGAACCAGACATGGACGCCGTCGCTCTGCGTCATCGACGTGACTGAGCGCGGCAAGGCGCAACCCATCTGCGCCTCCAGATCGTCCTTCTTCCGCCGTTCCAGCGTGAACACCTCCCCCGTGTCCGGATCGACACGCGGATCGAAGTCGAGGACGAACAGCCCGTTGATACCCAACGGTACGCCGATCAGCGCGTCGGGATGCTGCCGCCACCACGCCGCGACGCTGCGCTCGTCGCGTCGCGTCCTTCAGGCCGCTACCGGTGTGGGGGGGCCTTGGCGCGGAACGTCCGCTCGCCACCCTTGGCCAGTTTGACGGTTTCATCGCGCTCGCGACGGGGAACACGGCTCATCCACGACGCACGTAAGCGAGCGCCGCCTGCCCCATCGGGCTAAGCGGTTTTGGCGAAGTCAGGCGATCCCCGGAACAATCTGATGACAGGACGAACCGGATCGCGCCGGGATCGTCGGAAAGGATGACGGAGCAGGGCCGCCCGATCAGGGCGGATCATCGCCCACCGCCGCGCCGCCGCGATGGCCTATGGCGAATGTTCGTTCAGCCATGCCGTCGTGGCGAGATCGAGGCGCGCGCTCCAGATGCTTCTTCGCGCCGATCGTCCGGTTCGACCAGGATCGCCGCCCGGTGGTCGACCGGCAATAGAGGCCAGCAGCCGTCACAGACCGCCTGCCACCTCCGGGTTTGACCGCAACCCTGTACGGGACAGAGGAAGGCACGAGGCCGTGTCACAGCCCCGCCGCCTCGATGCGTTCGATCTGCCGCTCCAGCCGCGCCCGCGCATTGGCGGCACGCTGGCGCGAACGACGACGATTGGCCTCGACCTCATCCGGGTCGCGTGCGATGTCCATATGCTCGCGATAGAGCGCGAACGCGCGTCGCATCGCCCTCGGCAACCGGCGCGCTCACAGCTGATTGTCCCACGGTCCGAGCGTATCGGTCACGGGAAGAAGATGCCCGGATGATCGCAGAAGAAATCCTGCACCCGCGCGGACATGAACACGGCTGATTCCAGCGTGATCGCCGACCAATCGGTCATCTTGGCCAGATCGTCGATCAGCATCTGCACCATCGACATGGGCGCATCCATGCCCGCCACCCCCAGACCGGTCGGGATATGCGTCAACACCCGTGCGAAGTTGCAGGCGTCGTCGGGCAAGTACGCGCCCCACAGCATCACACGCGGCCGCAGATCGACCGCGAACGCCCTTGATCCAGCCGGCCACCGCGAACGCGTCGGTGCCGCCAATTTTCACCGGCCCGCGAATGCGGATACCGCCCGGCGTCCAGCCGTCCCAGCCGGGCCCTTATCCATGGTCCCGCTCCCGCGCCGCGCGCATCTGCGCCTGAACGGCGCGCGACGGCTCGCCATCGACATGAAAGCCGATCGCGATATCGGTCGCGAAGTTACGCACCACGCGCCGCACGAAACTGGCATCCGCCTGCCCCAGCCCGCCACGCGTCTCGATCGCGGTGATCGACGCGCAGACCGTCCGCGCATGGCTCAGCGCGGCCTGCTCCGCGACGATCGCCGCATCCACGGCCGCGCCGATATCATCCGCCACAGGCGCGACCATTTGCTCAACCGTCAAAGCGGCCTCCTGATGGACGTATGAGGCCGCTCGACAGGATCGTCACCCGTCGATGCCCAGCGGGCCCCAATTGGTAACGGAAATGCGACGATCGCCGGCCTGCGCGCCTTCAGCTTGTGCAGCGCGTAGCTGGCCTCATCCGCATGGTTCAGGCGCACCGCTTCGCCAGTTGGCGATCGGTCGGCATCGGCTCCCCCGATCGCGATACAGCGCGCGATTTCGGCAAGACCCGTGCTTCCCGGCTCGCATCGTCATGCATGGCGATCGGGCTGGGCAGGCGCTGCGCGACATAGTCGAAGCCCTGCCCGTCCGGCCGGCGCGGCTGGAATGTGCGGATCAGGCCCATGTCGATCAGCGACCGTGCGGCGGACCAGACGGGTGGTCGCGCGGCGGTTGGCGCCCGGTCGCGAACGTCATCCGCGCCCCGCCTTCGCCTCGAACGCCCACGCGCGCAGCGCCGCTCTGACGCCGCGAGCGGCACGATCACACCATGGCTCGAAAGCCCCCATCGATTCCTCTCGCCCCTTCCCAGACTAGGCCGCGACGCGCGAAATGGGACGGTCGAACCAACCGCCTTCGGGCTGATACGACCAGAAACGCGACCAGACCGCCCCACCCGTCGCGAGGTAGATGGCTTGGCCAGTTCCTCCCCAGCCGCACGTCGCCACGGATCAGCCGCTCGACGATCATTTCGGTCGAGCCGATCTTGCGCGCGAACCGCGCCAGCGTCGTCAGGGGCGGTCGTGGTCAGATGATAGGCAGGCGGCGCGCGCCTTCGTTCGGCACGACGGCCGGCAGGGGTCAGCTTCATCGGGGATTTCCCTCGGTCGGAATGTTGGCGACGATCGCGTCCAGCGCGACCGCGATTTCCAGCAGCTGACGGACCTCGCTGCGGATATTGGTTTGTTCGACCCGGTCGACACGGCCATCCGCCAGTGCGCCACAGATCGCCTGCGTCACATCGCGCCGCCTCTTTTCGACAGGCGGCCCATCATGGTCAGCATGTCCGCATCGCTGGCGGGGACATCGGGCAACGGCACGAACACCCGCCCATCACCGCGCACAGCGCCTGAGTCACGAAGGGAAACCCTCTGAGTCGCGGGTCAGCGGCTCCAGATCGGCGATGATATCGATCGGCGCAAAGGCATCCTGGTTATGCACCGGAAGCATAGGTGCTGAGCGTCGACTGCCCTGACCCGCGTGAACGGGCGCGGCCTTCGTCTGCCCCCCAAGCGCAGCAAGCATATCATCGGTGGCACGCTTCAGCGCGTGGCGCGCCACGCTCATGCGACCACCTGCCTGATAATCGGCCGCGAACTATTGGATGACGCCGCTACGACAGCGACCGTATCGCTATCGCCGCGATCTCGAGCGCGCCCTGTGAAAACACAACGTCTTCAGCCGTGACCGGCAGACCAGTTCTGCGCCTTACGCAGAACGGCGGGCTGCTTCAGGGCGGGGGACGCGACCACTGTCTTCCAGCTTTGAACCGTCGAGGGCGGCTCTTGAAAGATGTTCAGCCATCGGCCGAACCCCGTCGAATTTATCGAAGAAAGCGTCTGCATGGCGACATCGTGTGCGATAGTTTCGCACATATATCAACGATTAAATCGCACAGACACTGTGCGAGTTTTTCGCCACATGTAGGCATGGACCCCATCCGCCCATAACAAGCCGCCTTAAGGCCTTGAGAGAAAGGCAGAAATGAGCGTTCGCGCCTTGCCGAAGCGCTGGAGATGCCATCGAGTACCTATGCCGCTTACGAAGACCCGAAAAGTTCAAGAAGGCCGTCCTCCCGCTTCCGCTCACCGCCAAACTAGCTGAGGTTTTCGAGGAGAAAGGCGTTCCCCGCGATGCAACCTTGCACCTGCGGGTATCAATTCATCTGGCGATCGAGCAAATTCCAGAGGACATGGCGCACGCTTGACGCGGTCATGCTGCCGGAAATCGACGTTGGCTACTCCCATGGTGGCGGGCGGATGTGGAAGATTTTCCAGTTGTTCAGATGGTTCCGTTCAGCCGCGCTTGGCTGGGCCTTTACGCAGGCCCCCGCGTCTGAGCTGTTCGTAGCACGAGGCGATGGCGACTCGATGATGCCGACCCTGCTCGATCAAGACATAGTAATCATCGACCGTTCGCAACGCACGATGCGCCAGCAGGATCGCATATGGGCGGTGTCTTACGCCGGCTTTGGAATGATCAGCGACTCGCGCGCTTCCTGACGGATCGCCCAGATCAACAGCGACAATCCGCCGTGTCGTTGATCATTGCGGTCGATGGTGAAGCATCATCATCGGAAGGGTCGTAGCCGTCGTCAGGAGAATCTGACGAACTACACCCGTACGATTTTTTTCGTTTGACCAGGTGAAAGTTTTGAAGATAAGGCCTCCACGCCGCATTGAGCGGCGATGGAGGGGCCATTGTGCACCACCACCCTGTTGACCCGTCAGCGCGTCAAACGTTGGCGCGCTGATCCTGAAGCGCCGCCTGCGCTGATCCGCGATCAACACGCGGCCGAATGCCCGCCTGACGATCACAAACGATAGCGCCCCGGCCGCCTACATCGCGGTCGCGGCCGCCTTCGCCATCTATGTGACCGCCGGCACTCTCTATCACCTGCTGATGGGAGGCGCGGCATGATCGTCATCCACGGCCCCGTCCGCACCGGCAAGACGCCCATGCGCGCCGCTTTGCCCAACACCATGGGTGCACCAGCATTCTGACATCCCCGCTTTTAGCACGGTGCGCGTTCCTCCGCAAATCGATCTGGAGCGGCACGATTACCTGAAACCCTCATGTCGTCGTCTTGCCGGGCGTTGGCACACGCCCATTCATTTTGCCACCGAGGATGCGGACTATTTGCGCCGTCACCTTCCGCCGGAACGAAACTCATTTCGATCGTGGACGCCCGTAAGTGACGCTGGCCTCGAAATGATAATGGAAGGTGGCTTCCCGATCGAAACCACCTGCCGGCCGCAGCCGTCAAGGACCATAGAGGCGATCTCATCGACCGCATCGCCGCCCGACTGGCGGCGCCGATGGCCTGCATTGGGCTGAAGTGTGCGGATACGAAGCCATCCCACCCTCTCCAATTGCGACAGCAGCACCTGCGTAGCGGCGCATTTTCGAGGACCACGATGCGGACTACGCCTGCGAGCAGTACCGCAAATACGCCCGCATCGCCTTCGACGCCGGGGAAAAACTCGACGATGTCCGCCGGCTGGTCATAGCGGCCCGCTGCGTCCTCCAGTCGCGCCTCGCCTTGACGATGAAGCCCGCGAACTGGATAAGGCGGTCGAAGCCTTCGCCAGCCGCGTCGATTATGACGATCAGCAAGAGCGTTTCGATTTCGATATCGACAACGACGGTGTGATGACCGCGCTGCCCACATGGAAGCGGACGACAGGCACATATCTTCGCCTCCATGCTGGTCCATGGCCTGCCACCACCCAAGCGCGACATCGCCAGCTGGACGGACGAACAGTGCCAGCAGGCTGATATCTGGGCCTGCACCACGCACCTGAGCGCCAGCGATCATGACGATATGGCAGCGCCGCGCGCCCGACTTCTTACGCCCCGGCAACCACGCTGCCGGACGCCACCCGATCACCGGGGAGACACTATGATGGCTGGGCAACGCATTGAACGACACGCAGATCGAGGAGATGTAAGTGCGCTGCGGGAATGGGTGGGTATTCGGCGGATTGCCGATTATCACGAAGAACGGTACGCCGATCAGCGCCGGGGCCGAACTGGCAATGCTCTGCGCATGGGCGCGGATACGCTCCCCCAAATTTCAGGGGCAGCATACCCAGCCAAGCACCCCTATGCGCGCGGTGGCCATGTCGTGCGACCATTCACCCCGGAAGACGACGCACTCCTGCGCGTGCTGGATATGCAGGGGTTCCTCTTCCGATCATCTGCCAGCGCCTCAATCGCAAGAACAACTCCAGTGCGCGGGCCGCTCGCTGACGCTTGCCTGAATCGATGCCTGCAAGGAAGCGCGCGAAGGAGTGGCGGTACGAAGTTGCTTTGCAATGATGCGGGTGGCCCTGACCCCGGCCGAATTTATGGGCCTGCTGGAATACAGCACGACGCTGCCCACGGGCACCACGCCGGGCAAGCATGGAAATGCCGCCCGTATTGGGAAACGACCGCCCGCGCGGACTGGTATCGGTTTTATGGGCTGCCGTACCCCGAAGGGCAAGTATCATGGGCAGGTGCTTATAGGCTGGCGACGACCACGTCATCGGGTCGCCCGCCATTTTTCCACCCGAAGTAACGGTGCCGCCTGCGCCTATGCGCGGGCGGATCACGGCGGTTCCCACGCCCGCGATGGTGGGAAGGCATGAGCGAAAAACGCATACCCTACGCTTTCCCGTCCATTAGAGGACGCCAGATCGCGTGGTCAGCTTCGGCGCTGGCGTTCAGTCCACCACGATGTTTGATGGCGGCGAAGGCCTAATCGGGCCGATGCCTGATTTGGCAATCTTCGCTGACACCGGGCGATGAACCCCGCCGCGTCCAAGAACACTGGCGCTAGTGCAGTCGATGGGCCTTCCGTTCCAAATAGAGATCGTCCGGGCCAGAGGGCAATGGGCATCCGGGACCAAGTTCTAGCTTGGACACGCGGCGAGACAAAAGAACGCCAATGGCCGCCCGCCACTATTCATCGACACGCCCGGAAAACGCGTTGCGATGACCAAACGTCAATGCACGCAAGACTGGAAGATTATTCCGATCGAGCGCCGCATTCGTGGAGTTGGCGGGCATCAAGCCCCGCGCCCGTGGTCCGAAGGTGCCGGTTGTCGAGCAGTGGATCGGCATCTCAATCGACGAGTCCTATCGCATGGAAACCCGCGCGAACGCGTTGGATTTCCATGCGCCACCTCTCATTGAGGCCGACATGAACTGCCGCGCCTGCATCGCATTTGCGAAGCGAGGGGATCAAGCCTCCCAAATCGGCGTGTCGTATCTGCACGTTCCGGACGATGCACAGTGGCTCGACTCTTGAAGCAAAGTCCGGTCGACTTTGAGATGGCTTTGCGAGGTCGACGAGGCTCTGCGCTCGGGACACTCGACCCTGCGCGGCACCCATACCTTCATCGGTCGTGCAAGCTGCTGCGCGAGGTGGACTTACCGCCAGCCAACCTGACCCGATTGCTTGGCTTGGCGAATGCGAGGGGATGTGCGGGCATGATCGGCTTCAGCCTCCCATCCGACGCCCAGCCCGACACCGCCGATCGCCGTCACTGGCAAGCCGTTCTTCGTGATCGTGACACAAGCACGTCATTTACGCCCCGCGCCTGCGCGATCAGTGGTCACAGCTGGCGCAGGCGGCCGAACAGCTACTGGCCAGCTGTCGCGACCGCGATCCGACCTCGATCGCCAAGCGCCGCATGACGCCCGACGCCGCCCGCCAGCGGGAGCGCGTCATGGGCGCGATCGTCGCCATATGGCGCGACGCGGAGCGCCGGTCGAAGTCACTGGAGCCGATTGACTGGCCGCGCGTCTATGGTGCCAACTGGTCGGAAATCCTGATCGACATACGCGCCGTGGCTGGGGGCCGCCGCGACCGGCCCCGATCAGGACATGGGCTGCCTGCGCGGTCGCGCTCGCATGGCATTTCGAGCCGGTCATCGCCGGATCGATGCCACATATCTGGATCGCGGCCGCCCGGCGTCCGCCACACCGCCCAGCGCGATCGGGAGGCCGCCTGATGGACGTGTTACGCCTCCCCGGAGAAGCCTCGCCAACGCGTGACCTATCCGCCGCGCCAGTGCCCCGAGGTGGAGCGACGTTCCGGCTGCAGGATCAGCGACAGCTGTTCTGCACCAAAGAGCATCGCACTGCCCCGGAACAACCGCGCCACCGTTCGCGGTCGGGTACTGACACCCTTACACCATGGCTGCCCGCCAGACGCGCGACGGGACACGCGGGATAAGCTGACCGGGCAAACGCGCGGCGCAGATCAGTCATAAGTTGATGCAGCGCTACCGGGATGAGGATCGCGCCAATGGCCGCATGGACGCGGTCAGTTTCGCGGCTCTGCGCATTCTGCACGGGTTCGACCCAATATGAACGCCCCATCGCGAATCACCCGCGATTCGGGCAAGGATCATGATCCGCCCTGATCGTTCGTCAGCGCTCGCGCGACAGGCCGCCGCCCGCGATATCGACCGGGCGCGACAGAGGACAAACGATAGTGCGGACCGTCATCTACGCCCGGTTCTCCAGCCACCTTCAGAATAGCCGCTCGATCGAGGATCAGATCACCGTCTGCCGCGAACGCTGCGAGCGCGAAGGCTGGACCATCCTCGACATATTCACCGACTATGCGATTTCGGCGCGGCGGGATCACCGAAGCTCAGCGGCGGGCCTCGCCGTTATGCTGGCGGGTCGAGGCCGGCGGGGATCGATCAGGTACTTGCGGAGTCCACCGATCGCATCGCCCGCCATCAGGGCGACAGTTTCACCATCCGGGAACGCTTGAGCTGCTCGTTTCGCCCGCCTGTTCACCCCTGTCCGATGGCGAGGTGAACGACATTTCCGGCACCTTCAAGGGGCTGATGGACGCAGTTCCGGAAAGAACTGGGTGCCAAGATCAAGCGGGCAAAAGGGGACGATCGCGTCCGGCCGATCACCCGCCGGGCTGGCCTATGGCTATCGTACCGCCAACAGGATCGATACCGCCGGACGCCCGGTGCGAGGCCTGCGCGAAATCGATCCGGAACAGTCCGCCGTGGTCCGCCGTCATCTTTCGCCTGTTCGTCGACGGTCAGCGCGCGAACGATCGCTGGCATCCCAACCGGGAAAACATCCCCGGCCCACGCGGCGCGATCTGGCGCGCATCGACCATCAATGGCGACGGCGCGTGGCAACGGCATCCTGCGCAACGAACTTTATATCGGCCGGCTGGTCCACAACCGCACCAGCAAGGTGGTCCACCCTGCCACCCGCAAAGTGACGATCCGCGTCAATCCGTCGAGCGAGCATATTGTCGAAGAGGTTCCCCACCTCCGTATTATCGCGCAAGAGGATTGGGATGCGACCCGCAACCGATCTGACCATACGGCGCAAAAGCTGCTTCACGGCCGCGTAAGGTCGCGACGGATGCTGTCGGGCCCTGGCAGTGCGGCATATGCGGCGGCCTCGGATCGTCATCAGTGGCGATCGTTGGGGCTGCAAGACGAACCGTGCTGACGCCAGCTGCACTAACACCGCCACCATATCGAACAAGCGATAGGAGGAACGCGTGCTGGCGGGGCTGAAAAACCAAGATGCTCGATCCGACATCGTCGCGATCTTCGTGAAAGAATATCACGAGGAATATGCCCGCCGCGCGGCCGAAACCCGCCGCGACACCGACAGGCTGCAACGCACGATCGACGAAGCAGAACGCAAGATTACCTGACTGGTTACGGCCATAGCGGCGGGCGGCGGAGAGTTCGTCGAGGTGAAGGACGCACTGGCCAAGGCCCGCGCCGATCGCGACAACGCCCGCGACAGCCTCAACCAGATCGAGGCGCTTCCGTCGTCGCGCTGCACCCCACCGTTGCGGCTGATTATCGCCGCGAGGTCGAGCAGCTGCACAAATCGCTAAAGGACCCTGAAGCAAAGGAAGCGACGATCCCGGCCCTGCGCAGCCTGATCGACTGCATCATCATCTTGACCCCGCCCCGGTCGGTCGCGGCGTCGAGGTAGCAATCGAAGGTCGCCTAGCATCCATCCTCGGCTGGCGACAGGCTGCGAAGTTCCTGGAAACTTTGTACGCTTGTGGCCAGTTCGTTTACCCGCTCCATCCTTCCGATCCTTATCGACGATGCGGGCGCATTCCCAGCATGGCGAGTGCTTGACCAACAAGGCACCCTGCCACCGCCGCCTCGCCCTGATACGGACGAGAAAGATTTTACCCATGGCATCGGTCGATTTCGACATCCCTCACGAACTGGGTCAGGCCGAAGCGCGCCGCCGGATCGAACAGGGCCCGCCTGCTGGAAGCGCATATTCCGGGTGGCGGGCAGGTCCAGTCCGAATGGCCCTGCCGACGACCGGCTAATGCTGACCATCATCGCCATGGGGCAGACGGTGAAGGCCGACATGAACATCGCCGACCGGGCGATCACCGGCACGGTGGCGATCCCCATGATGCTGTCGATGATGGCCGGGCCGATCAGCGAATTCGTGGAAGACCAGCGCGAGAAGATGCTGGCCAAGGCTTGAGGTCGAGAATCGGCCGTAGCGACGACAGCGACAGGCCAACGCGGCGCCTATCTTGAAGATGGCGGGGTTACGCCCATCTACAGACCTCCTTCCCTCTTGGAGAAAGGAGGTGCGAAATGAAGCTGATCACTTGGCTGCTCACGCACCATGCCGTGAAACTTGCCCCCTCCTTGGGGAGCCGGATCGTTACCCGCGGCGGCACAAGCCTGTACCGGGCAGGGTCTGACGATAACTACGCCGCTTAAGGCTAGGGGGTAATACATCGAGGGAGGGACGCCGCCCCTCAACTGTTGGACGCTAAGGCCCCGCTTACCAAATTGCGTTAGGGCTTGACCGCATGCCCGAGACACCTGTCCCGCCTAGCCGCCCACCCCGCCCCATTTCGGCGGTGACGCATGGCGGGGCTGGCAGGACTGGCGGGGTCGCTGGCCCGGATCGCGATCGCGCGGTGGCAGCATCTCGACGGACCCTTGCGCGGCGCTTCGTCCATCTGCTGGCGGTGGGCCTGCTGATGATCCTCTGGTCGCTAATGGTGGACAAGGTCCATCGCCATCCTCGACCGGGATCGACTGGGCCCATCCCGCCCTGCCCGCGAGACGCTGGACATCAGCCTGACCAAGCTCGTCGGCCTGTGGGCGACCTTCGCCGTGATCGATCATCTATGCGACGGGGCGCTTCTATTGGCGGGGGCAATTTCGCCTTTGCCATGTGGTGTTTCGAATGGATAGCCCCGGCGCTGTTCCTGCTGTCCATTCCCTATGTGCTGTGGCTCGACTGGCGGTTGGTCGCCCCCGCGACGGGTGCCCGGATGCTGGGCGCCCGGCTGGCCGGACAGAAGGGCATCGAGGCGGAGGCGATCTACGCCCATTTGCGGCGCTCCGGGGTGAAGGCCTTCTTCCCGGCCTTCATGCTGGCGGTGGTGCCCGGCGGGTTCGGCAACTTCGTGCGCGGCGATCTGTCCGCCGTGCTGCACGATCCGGTGGCGCTGGCCAATTGGCTGATCACCTTGATGTTCGTGGATCGACGTCGCCTTTGCGACCGTCGGCTAGGCGCTGACCATGCGGCCGCTCGACGCGCATATCCGCTCGGCCAACCCTTATGCGGCGGCGTGGATGGCGGCGCTGATCTGCTATCCGCCGACGATCATGATGGCCGATGGCGGCCCGCTCGGATTACCGACCGGGGACCGCCGAATGGAGTTACTGGTTTGCAGGGCATCCGATCCTGCTGGCGGCGATCGGTGCGGTGCTGGTGGCGCTGACCGCCATCTATGCCCGGTCGACGGTGGCGTTCGGCATCCGCTTTTCCAACCTGACCCACCGCGGATCCTGACCCACGGACCCTATGCCGTGTCGCGTCACCCGGCCCATCTGTCGAAGAACCTGTTCTGGTGGATCGCGATCATCCCCGTGCTCTCGACCGACCTGGGTCGATGCGGCGCGGAGTACCATCCTGCTGGGGGCGGTCAGCGGCGTCTATTACTGGCGCGCCAGACGGAGGAGCGGCATTTGTCGGCCGATCCGGCCTATCGGGAATATTCGGAATGGATGGCGCGGTACGGGTTGGTACCGCGCTTCTTTGCCCGCTGGCAGGGCGTCGAGGTTAGCGCTTCCCTTAGTTTCGACTTCGGCACGATGCGCCGAAGTTTATCCTGAGCGGAGTTTGAGGATGTATCCTCCACCCGTTCAGGCTGAGCGAAGTCGAAGCCCGCGTTACGCCCTTAGAAACTCGCTTCGTCGTAAACCCGCGCTATGTCCCCGCCCCACTCGCCATGATAGCGGTCGAGCAGCACCTGCGCTGGCACCTTGCCCGAGCGGACGATCGCGCGCAGCGGGTCAAGGAAGCCGGTCCATTATCGCCGGCCGCGTTCAACCGCGCCCGCGCCGCCAGCCCGGCATGGGCGATGTCCAACACCTCGCCGGCAATATCGCGCAGCCGCCCGCCGCCCGGCAGCGGCGCATCCAGCGCCAGTTCGGGGACCGAATCGCGCAACGCCTGCCGCTCGTTCAGCGACCAGCCCTTGACCAATCCCGTGCCGCATCGAGTGCGGTATCGTTACAGAGCAGCCTGACCCACAGTGCCGGCAGCGCGCAGATGCGGCCAGGGGCCGCCATCGGCACCGCGCATCTCAAGGAAGGTCTTCAGCCGCACCTCGGGAAGGCGGTCGACAGATGATCGTTCCAATCCTCCATCGTCGGCAACTCACCCGGCAGGACCGAAAGCTCGCCCTTCAGGAAGTCGCGGGAACGACAGCCCCTGCCGCGTCGATATATTTGCCATCGCGGTAGATTTAAGTACATCGGCACATCGAGCGCATAGTCGGCATAGCGCCCATAGCCGAAACCATCCTCGAACACGAAGGGCAGCATGCCGGTGCGTGGGGTCGGTGTCCGACCAGATATGGCTGCGGAAGGACAGCTTGCCGTTAGGCTTGCCTCGGTAAAAGGCGAATTGGCGAACAGCGCGGTGGCCAGTGGTTGCAGCGCCAGCGCCGACGCGGAACTTCACCATATCGGCCCGGACGCATAATCGAGATTCACCTGGATCGTGCAGGTGCGCAGCATCATGTCGAGGCCGAGCGAGCTGACGCGCGGCATGTGCCGCAGCATGATCGCATAGCGCCCTTTGGGCATGATCGGCAGCTCGGCGCGAGTCTTGTCCGGCCACATGCCCAGCCCCAGAAAGCCCAGCCCAGCTTGTCGCCCGCGGCCTTCACCTGCGTCAGGTGACGGCCGGTCTCGCACAGGTCTCGTGCAGATTGTCGAGCGGCGCGCCTGACAGCTCGAACTGGCCGGCGGGCTCCGTGGCTGATCGAGCCGTCCGCACCGGTCAGCGCGATCACGTTGCCGCCCTCCAACACCGGCGCCCAGCCATATTGCTCCAGCTCGCCCAAGAGTGCGCGGATACCCGCCGCTTCGTCGTAAGAGGGGCGTGATGATCGCCCAGCGCATAGACGAACTTCTCATGCTCGGTGCCTATCCGCCAGCGATCGCTTGGTTTTTCGCCCTTTGCGAAGCTGGCGATCAGCTGATCGCGCGACTTCGATGATGGCGCCCTTGGCGGTGCTCGCGGTCTTGGTGCTCATGAACCGCGCCTTTACGCGGGCGGGCGCGAGGATGCCACAGGCTGAATCAACCCCAGTCGCCCGCCGCCGCCATCCAGAGCGATACATGGCCGCCGCCGCCGCCGTATCGGCGCGCAGGATGCGGGGTCCCAGACCGATGCCAATGGCGGACGGAGCGCGCGGATCGCCTCGCGCTCCCTCGCTATCGAAACCGCCCTCCGGCCCGATCAGGATGGCTGCCGGCCCCTGATGCGCGCGCATCGCCTCCAACGCAGGCAGCCCGCCATTCTCGTCGGCAAAGAACAGCGCGTTCCTCAGGCCAGTCGCGCAGCAGCGCGGGCAGCTTCACCGGCTCGGCCACTTGCGGAAGCGCGGTCCGCCCACATTGCTCCGCCGCCTCGATCATATGCGCGCGCAGCCGCTCGGTATTGGGCTTGTCGACCACGGTGCGGCGAGTGACGACCGGGACCAGACGCGCCACGCCCAGTTCGCATGCCTTTTCCGCCAGCCAATCGACCCGCCCCTTCTTCAACGGCGCGGCGCATAGCCACAAACCGGCACCGCCTCGCGCTCTGCGCAACCGTTGGGTCACGTCCAGGTCAGGTCGCGCTTTCCCACCGAGGCCGCGACGCCCAACCATTCGCCCGTCCGGTCGTCGAACAGCTTGACCGGATCGCCGACCTTCGTCCGCATCACCGACACCAGATAATGTGCGGCCGGACCATCGATGCGGATCGGCCCCTCGGCCAGTATCTGATCGACGAACAGGCGGGGGGGTGGATTGCGGCGGCGTAGCGGGCATGGGCCCTGCTTACACGCCTCGCGCACGCCATGCCACTTTTGCCGCTCGGTGCGTTTTCGGTTCAGGAGGTAACGATGGCGAAACATTATCAAGAGGAGCTGGAAGCGCTGCAACTGGCGCTGGTCCGCACCCAGATGGCGATGGCCGGATCGAGCGAGCGGGTCGTCATCGTGCTGGAGGGACGCGATGGGGGCCGGTAAGGACGGGACGATCAAGTGCATCACCGAGCATCTCTCGGTCCGTGCCACCCGGGTCGTGGCGCTCCCCAAGCCCTCCGACCGCGAACGCACCCAATGGTATTTCCAGCGCTACGCCACCCATCTTCCGGCTGCGGGCGAAATCGTGATCTTCAACCGCAGTTGGTACAACCGCGCAGGCGTAGAGGTCGTCATGGGCTTTTCCACCGCCACCGAGCAGGAAGCCTTTCTGCGCGATGCCCTGATTTCGAGCGAATGTTGGTCGAAAGCGGCATCAAGCTGGTCAAGATCTGGCTCGACATCTCCAAGAAGGAGCAGGAAAAGCGGCTGGAGGCGCGCGCACCGATCCGCTGAAAGCGCTGAAGGTCTCGACATGGACAAGGTCGCGCAGGCCAAATGGGCCGATTATTCGGCGGCACGCGACACGATGCTGATCCGCACCCATACGCCGTTCGCGCCGTGGCACGTGGTCCGCGCCGACGACAAGAAGGACGCGCGGATCGCGATCATCCGCCACATCCTCCACCGCATCGCCCCGCCCGACATTGCCGCCGACGTGCGCCGCTGCCCGGATCCGGACCTGCTCTTCCCGTTCGACATGGCGGCGCTGGAGGATGGGCGGCTGGCGAAGTAGCGAATCTTTCGTGGCGGCGGCGCAGGGACATTAGGGCCGATCTTTACCGGCGAATGGTCTTATCGGGCGGAGACCCTGCGTCGAGGATTATGCCGAATGCCGCCTTCTTCCCTCGGATCGCTGCAACGCTGATCGTCCGAACGAGGCCGCTGCATCGCGCGTTGCCTGAACAGCGTCGCGCCTTGGGTCGACAAGATGGTGGTGCTCGACACCGGTTCCACCGACGACACCGTGGTGATCGCGAAGGCCGCCGGGGCCGAGGTGCATCACCTGCCCCGCCGGACGACTTCGCCGAGGCGCGCAACCACGCTCTCGCCTGCGCCGATGCCGACTGGAACCTGATGCTCGACGCCGACGAGTGGATCAGCACGGGCGGCGAGGAACTGCGTCGCTGGTGCGCGGGGCCGCCACGCCCGGTTTCGTCTGTATCGAGAATTTGTCGACGGTAGCCCCTGATCCCACGCGGTGCTGGATTCCGCGATTGTTGCCACGCGGCGTCCATTATGAAGGGCGCATCCATGAACAGGTCGCCTCTTCCCTGCCCCGTGAACGTATTCCCGTACATGTCGGCCATGATGGCTATCTCGCCCAGCAAAAGGCGAAAAGCGCGACCGCAATCAGGCGCTGTTGCGCGAACTCGCCGAGCAGCCGGAAACCCCCCTATCTGATGTTCCAATTGGGCATGGAAGCCCAAGGGCAGGCCGATTTCCAAACGGCATGCGATTATCTGGGGACAAGCCTTGGCCAGAGCCCCGCGCGATGCCGGTTGGCGGCATGCGTTGGTGGTCAGTGCCATTCCGCTGATGTCCCATGCAGGCCGGCTGGCCGACGCGATCGCGCTGGCCGATGCCGAATTCGGACAATGGCCCGATCTGCCTGACTATTTCTTTGTCCCGGGGGGACGTCCTGTTCGATCAGGCTGTGGCCGATCCAGCACAAGCGGTCGACCATTGGCTGCCCATGGCACAGGGGGCCGGGAACGCTGTCTCACCATCGGTGAACGCCCTGACTCGACGGCAGCGTTACCGGGCGTGGCAGCTATCTGGCGCAGCAGAGTCTGGACATCGTCCGCTCGCAACTCGCGACGCTGGCCGCCTAGCGCCGTCGGCGGACGAGCCACCACAATAGGCCCAGCCCGATCAGCGCCAGCAGGACGACACCGCCCACTCATCCCCGCCACGCGCAGGATCGCCCAGAACAGCGCCTCGACGAAACGCCCGACCGCGACCGACAGGCCGATCACTGGAAAAGAGGCCCACAGCCCGTCACCGCCCCTGTCATAGCGGCAGGCGGCCCCTTGCGCCACGCGGGTCAGCGCAGAGGCGCGATCATCGCCTTCACGCTATCGATGGGCAGTGACATCAGCGCCGCAGCACAATCGTCGATGCCATAGGACAGGAACACCCGGCCGTCATGGGCCGCCAGCCCCGAACAGAATTCGAGACCCCGTTTTTCAAAAAGAAGAACGGCTCTGACAGCCCCGTCACACGCCAGTCGCGGGCGATGCGGACGAAGCGATGCGGATAAAAAGGGGCCTGCGGAGAAGCTGGCTTTGAGCTGCCGACAGGCGAGATGCGCGACGCAGAGCCAGCCATCCTCCCACGGAATGAGCTGCGACGATCCCGACCATCCGACCAACGGGCGGATCGGCTGATCGGTCTGGTGGATCAATTGCAGCGCGTCGTCTGTCACCTGATACACCTCCATCCTGTCCAGCTGATAGAGCAGGGCCAGCCGATCCTCCCCGACCGCGGGCATCCAGTTCTTCTCGCGCGCGCAGCCATGAGGTGACGGCAGCGAGAGCGACCGACCGATCGCGCCATCGTCGACGGGGGCGATCGCCATGACGTTGCTGCTGCCCTTCCAATTGGGCTTGCTGGCGCTGCGCGCATCGGGCGCCACCTGATCGGGGCCGAGACGGCAGGCGCTCCAAAGTCCGTACACCATATCCTTCCAGAAGAAGAGCCGTGGATCCTCAAAGCCATTGCGCGCATCGGGCGACGCGGCCTTGGCCTCGTCATCGTCCAGCCGGACGGCGGAGCGGGACTCCCAGATCCTCGTCATAGCCGAGCAGCCAGTTATCCGACGACAGCCGCTCAATACCGCCGGGTACGATATAGGCGCCGTCCGCCAGCATCCGGTAATTGGGGCTGCGCACCATGACGGTCCAGGCCCTTCCGCCCGGTCCGGCGTGCGCAGGATCGTGGATTGTACAGCCGTTCGACACCCTCGATCCGGATTTCCCGGTGGCGTGCATCGTGTTGCTTGATCAGGCACGTCGCGCGCGCGACGATCGACGCTTCCTTCATTTGCCCGAGCCGGAAACGGCCATGCCGCCCGATCCGCCGAATCAATCCCCGCATCATCATTCCCCATTGTCGCGATCGGGCACCGAGCGGGCGGATCGCGATCCCTCGCCCTGCCTAGCGCATCGGCGATGCCCGGCGAGATGGCTTTTTGTCATCGGCCAACGCCGCGATTGACCAGCGTTGATACAGATGCCGCCGCACCCGAACCCCCTTTGCATGGCCCGACCGGCCCCCATAGGCCCGGACCATGACGATCGAGATCGTACCCGATAGCGAGCATAAAGGACTGGTCGGGCGGCTGCCGCCCCTGGTGGCGTGGACTGGCGTTGCTGGCGCGGTTCGATCGACCGATCGGCTGGTGGCTGCTCTTCTGGCCCGGTGCCCGGGCGATCGCGCTGGCCGGCGGACTACCGGAACGCTGGCCGATGCTGCTGTGGTTCCCGGTCGGTGCGATCGCGATGCGGGGCGCGGGCTGCGTCTTCAACGACATTGTCGACCGCGACCTGATGCCAAGGTCGCGCGGACGCGGGCACGGCCGATCCCTCGGGCTGGTGTCGGTAAAGCTCGCCGCGATCTGGCTGGTCGTGCCAGCCTGATCGGGCTGTCGTCCGGTGCAGTTGCGCCTGCTGGCGCGCGATCGTCGCGCTGGTCAGCTTGGCGCCGGTCGCCGCCTATCCTTCGCGAAGCGGATCACTGGTGGCTGCAGGCCGGCTGGGCATGGTGTTTAGCTGGGCCCGCACTGGTCGGCTGGGCGGAGATTGCCGGGGCACTGACCACGCCGCTCTGGCTGCTCTATGCCGGATCGATCGCCCGGGTGATCGGCTGCGACACCATCTATGCGCTTCAGGATCGTGGGAGGACGATGCATTGATCGGCGTGCGATCCTCCGCACTGCGCATGGGCGCGCATGTGAAGCCGGGGTCGGAGTTTTCTACCTCATCGCTATCCTGTGCTGGGCGGCGGCGATCTGGCTGGTCCGGCCGGACGTGCTGGCGGTCGCGCGCGCTGATCCCGGTGGCGCTGCATCTGGCTGGCAGGTCGTGACGCTGAAACCCGACGACGGCGCGGGTGCGCTCTACCGGTTCCGGTCCATCGCTTTGCCGGGTTGCTGATGGCGTTGGCCTGCGCGGTAGTGGGGAGTTCGATTGAATCCTCCCGCACGGGGTGCGGTGCTGATCTCGCGCAACGCTTTTGGCGGGTTGTCGCGTTTGCCAAACTCCGCCACATCTCAGGTCGATGACCGTAGCCACGCCCGCCACCCGCTCGCTTGCCGAAAGCCATCGTTCGATCGCGATCCCGGAGGGCGCGTCCTTCCTGCG